CATAGAGATAACTGTGTGCTTACAAAGCATTAGTAAGAGGATTGAAGAAATAGACATTAGGGGACTTCCATTGTCTCTTTGTCTTGTGGTTGGATGGTTAGAGTTGTGACTCTGAAAGTATAGAACTGCCTCACACACATGAGGCAGTAGTGATGCTTCAAGCATATCTATCTGATTTTGCTTGGTGGCAGTCAAAGCAGGAAAAAGGGCTTCTCCCTAATTTTTCCTTCTTATTCCCCTGTCACTGTGTCCTGCTGGATTGAATTCAGTCACATGCAGAAATCAAGCTGTTTCTTGGAAATAGAAATTTTAATTTTATCTCCTCTTCCATATAAGAAGTTGCATATAAATTATGAGGATTTGAAGACAAATGATAACAAAGCTTGGGCTTCCCTGGTAACTCAACTGATAAAGAATCTGCCTCCAATGCAGGGGACCCTGGTTCAATTCCTGGGTGGGGAAGATCCCCTGGAGAAGAGATAGGCCACCCACTCCAGTATTCTTGGCTTCCCTGGTGGCTCAGCTGGTAAAGAATCCACCTGCAATGCAGGAGACCTGGGTTGGGAAGATTCTCTGGAGGGAGGGTATGGCTACCCGCTCCAATATTCTTGCTTGGAGAATCCCCATGGATAGAGGAACCTGGCGGGCTACAATCCTTGGGGTCACAAAGAGTCGGACATGACTGAATGACTAAGAACAAGCATACAATAAAGCATATTAAATATACTTCCCCAATCCTTTTATTTATTTATTTATTTATTTATTTATTTTTGTTGTTTTTGTCTATGTTTCTGTAGTTCACTCCTGTAATCTTTCCTTGTATACTGTTATCAACCAGGTCCATGCTCAGTAACCTTAGTTAAACTTGATGGCACATTAAGAAAAAACATGCAAAACAAGTTACCTACTTTGTTTAGGCTCTGCATGCTGCTGCTACTGCAGCTAAGTCACTTCAGTCGTGTCTGACTCTGTGCGACCCCATCCCTGGGATTCTCCAGGCAAGAACACTGGAGGGGGTTGCCATTTCCTTCTCCAATGCATAAAAGGGAAAAGTGAAAGTGAAGTCACTCAGTCATGTCCGACTCTTCGCGACCCCATGGACTGCAGCCTACCAGGCTCCTCCATCCATGGGATTTTCCAGGCAAGAGTACTGGAGTGGGGTGCCATTGCCTTCTCCGAGGCTCTGCATAAAATCCCTTAAAAGGCAATATAGTGAAACTTTCAGTGTGATGCATGTTTCCCCTATTTAAAGGTTCAAAGGTCAGTTCTGGGTCCTATGATAGGGTAGACTCTTCCATGTACCCTGGCTGCTGAGACACCCCAAGCTTGTCTGTGCCCGCAGGAGGAAGAAGGGGAAGTACCAGGCAGCCCCTCTGCTCACTCACTGGCACCACGTTTTCTTGATCTCATTTCAAACACATCATTTTCTCTGCTCATTTAGATGCTTGATAATAATATGAAGTGGAAGTGTACTTATCCAAGTCTCAGTTGTTTCTAAATCCACTTTGTAAACTTTTACTTGTCTTTGTTGTATGGCTTAGCTTACATGCAACTCTCATTCCCTGAATAGCTCCTCTTCCCTACCTAGCTTTCCCCTTCTAACTTTCTCCTGGCAAAACTGGGATCCTGGCGAAACTCAAACCTCCTACTTGAGCTGCTCCTGTCTATATATCCTGCCTACTCAGAATTTCTACCTAGAAGTTGTAGTAGGCATGTTTCTAAGCATCTGCCCTTCAAGATTTCCATTCCCTCATTATTAAATCAAGCTCTCATTGATTGTGTGACATGAAATATTACTCTGAAATGAACTATTTCTGTGAAATGAAGTATTTGCTGCTATACCAGTAACAAGCCATGACATAGCCATCTAAGCCCAGGTCAAACAATGCCAGCTATTCTGCAGCCATCAGCCACTTCCTCCCCGAGATAAGTGCTGAGGACTTGGGGGGATGTGGGAAGCACAAGAAGCAATTATCCACCACATCACCAGCTCTTATGGTTATACAAGGAATTAGGATGTGAACAATAAAAAAGCAGAATTTGACCCCAGATTGCTGAGATGCATATGAAAGAAATGATTTCAGTAAGCCTTGTGTGTCTTTCCATACATAGAAGAGCACTAAATCTCTTATGCAAGAGACCTGGTTTTCCTTAATTAACAATAATCTTTTAATATTCAGATTACCTGCCCCCTTGCTGCAAACTTGTATATAGCCTGGCTCCTTCCCATGCCTTCTCAGAAGCAGCTCTTTCCAGGTCACCTGAGATACTGTTTACTGGGCTTGGAGTCCTCATGATTCCCGCCGAATAAACCTAACTTTCAACTTTTAGGTTGCACGTATTTTTTCAGTGGACAATGGAATAATGAGGGGAAGTAAATACAACTTTTCAAAGAGTTATGCTGTTAAAGCACTTTTCAGATATTATTATGTTATGTGTGTGTGTGTGCATGTGTATGTGTGTGTGCTCAGTTGTGTCTGGCTCTTTGCAACACCATGGACTGTAGCCTACCAGGCTTCTCTGTCCGTGGTATTTTCCAGGCAAGAATACTGGAGTGGGTTGCCATTTCCTACTCCAGGGGGATCTCCTCAACCCAGGAGGAATAGAACCTAAGTCTCTTGTGTCTCCAGCATTGGCAGGCAGATTCTTCAACCTCGTGCCACCTGGAAAACCCTTTATTATGCTATAATTCTTTCAAAAGAGAAATTATCCTCAATTTTTTTTTTTTATAGGACTGCTCTAACTAATTGAGCTCTTCATAGTAGATAAATTTCTCTGGCTGGAGTCAGAGGATGTAGGAGAAGAAGAATTAGGCAAGAGAGATGTATAGAGAGATGACTGAGCCTTGACACAGGTTCACCCCAGAGCTTCTAAAAAGGATTGCAGCCTGATGATACTTTTATTTCAATCTTGTGAGGCTCTAAGCAGACAAACTATGTGACTCGGCTACTGTGTACACTTCTGATACATAGAACTGGGAGATAAAGCATTTTTCCTATTCCAGGATGCTAAGTCTATGGTGATATGCTGTGGCAGTAATAAAAAATAGTACAGAAGTTAGAGATCTCCAACTTAATATATCCAGTTCAGAACTTAGTATATTCCAAATCCTTAAACCCTGATTCCTCTCCAGTCTTTCTTGTCACTAAAAGACATCATTTATTCATATAATCACCTGGGTCCCAAATATCAGAGTTATTTCTAGATTTTTTTTTTCTTTGAAACCCACATCCAACATTTTTCAAATACCTTTGGGTATTTCCAGCATCTCTATATCTGATCCCTTCTCCCCTGGGAGCTTGATCCCAGCCTAGTCTAAACCATCACCTCTCTCAACAGAAGTTTTGAAATGGACTTTACTCTTTTTCTTTTTTTTCCTAAATGGAATCGTATTCACAGGAGAGTCACAGAAATGAAAATTTGAAAATGCCAATCAGATAATGTTATTCTTTTATTTAAAATTTTAGTTGCCTCCCATACATTTAGAATGAAATTCAAATCCTAGGTCCTTTATGATGTGGTCTGTCTGCCTCCTTGATATTCTCTTCTTTCTTACTAAGTTTGAATCAGATTAACATTCTATGGTTCTGATACATGCAGAATTCATTGCTACTTCAGGTCTTTCCATCTTTGATTCCTTCTGCCTTGAGTGTCCTTTTACTAGATATTATAATACTTTGCTCTTAACATTCTTCAAGTCTTTGCTTAGATATCATTTCATCAGAGATTCTGCCAAACAAGACAGCCAATCACCATAGTTTTTTATCACCTCACACTTCATCTTTCCCGGTGGCTCAGGTGGTAAAGAATCTCCCTGCAATGCAGGAGACCCAGGTTCAATCCCTGGGTTGGGAAGATCCCTTGGAGAAGGAAATGGCAACCCACTCCAGTATTCTTGCCTGGAAAATCCCATGGATGGAGGAACCTGGTAGGTTATACTCTGTAGGGTCACAAAGAGTCGGACACGACTAAGTGACTTCACTTCTTAGGAGAGTGCTTTTTCCTTCTTAAATTACATTTACATTTGCTTACTTTCTTTTCTTGTTATATTAGAGTATAAGCTCCATGAAAGCAGTGATTTTGACTGCCTTCATTATTACTGAGCTCTCATTTGCTATAACAGTCTCTGTTTCATGGAAGAGTCAATAAGTAGTTGTGGAATAAGGATGGCATTAAACACCAAAAAACAAGTTTAGGTTTACTTCAAATATCTTTGAGAAGTTTTGATTCATAAGTACTTGGTGGAAATGTGGGTAGTTAAGTAAGTGTACTGAAAGAAAATGCAGGTTTATACTTCAACAGTGAAAAAAATCTATGAGAGATAATAGCTCTCGTGATACAATGAGGCCGTGATGGTCATAATACTTTTTTTCCCAAAATGGTCATAATACTTTTGATTAAAATCTTACCTAATGATAGGAAGCAATGGAAATTTGGAAATCTCAGCCATCTTCCTTTTATTATTGATGTCTGAAATGATCATTAGTTATCAAGTCCTACTTTGGTGGAAAATGATTTTTTATATGACATTTCAAGATTTGTGCCTTGAAAGTACCTCATTTAGATATTTAGATTTGCTAGGAAGACATCTCTGCTCTGGAATTGACAGATCATGTAAAAAGCTGGAAGACTTAAGATTATTTAATTTTAGTATCTTTTAACATGCTATTTTATGTTTTGTAATTATATGATGGGTTGAGGTACCCAAGAAAGGATCCTGTTGCCTACTTTTCCAACTTCATCACCTTAAGCTACAAGTCTAGGTGTCTCCTTGTATTTTTCTAATTCCCTCCTTGGTTTCATGGTACAAGGTCAGATTTCTGGTAGCACTAATTTTCAAATGAGTGGCATAAGTGTGGACAAATTGGTGGCTCTCCTGAAGACACTGGAGGCTTAGTATCATTGCTCAATTCTTTATTTTCACTTTGTTGGCATACTGTTTTCATAACTTGTGCTTTCTTTTACAATTTCTAAGATTATTTCTCCCCAAAACTCAGAGCTCATGGGCTATCTCTTCCATACCCCAAAAAGGAAAGAAATTTTTCTAAAAATCTCTTAATAAAGGAATTTTGGGTATTGGATGATGTAGTTGTGGGGTTGATGAATTTGGTGGTGGGTTCTGCTATGTTTGTAGTGGAGTCTGTAGTGTCTATTAGGGGGACTGTTGTGATTATAATGGGGTCTGTTGTGTCACCATTGGAGACTGTTTTGTTAGTGCTGGGGACTGTTGTGTCGGTGCTGGGGACTGTTGTGTTGGCACTGGGGACTGTTGTGTTGGCACTGGGGGCTGTTGTGTTGGCATTGGGGACTGTTGTGTTGGCATTGGGGACTGTTGTGTTGACACTGGGGACTGTTGTGTTGGCGCTGGGGACTGTTGTGTTTGTGACGGAGTCTGTTGTGTTGGTAATGGAATCTGTTGTGTTGGTGCTGGGGACTGTTGTGTTGATAATGGAGTCTGTTGTGTTGGCACTGGGGACTGTTATGTTTGTAATGGGGTTTGTTGTGTTGGTAATGGAGATAGTAGGGGAGTCTGTTGTAGTTGCTGGTTTTGGGGGTAGAGGTGGAAAGAAGGGAGGATAAAATGGAGGATATGGAAGGAACTGTTGAGGTCTAGATGGATAAGGTCTTGGTGGATTTGGATAACCTGGGAAGAAAGGAGGGCGTGGTGGAATTCTGCCTGGACCAGAAGGTAGAAGAAGGTATGGTGGAATTCTTCCAGGACCAGAGGATAGAGAAGGGCGTTGAACAAATCCTGGGACAGAAGGAATGCGTGGTGGAGGAAGTCGAGCAGGTGGTCTAGGCACTTGTAGGCTGGGGCCTCTGTGACTCTCTCCAGACTATGGGGAAAAAAAAGAAGTAAACAGTTTTAAATTAGATATTTCAGTGTCAAGCATAAGAATGTGTATTTTCTGTGTTAGGTAGAATTCTTAGGTGGCTTCCAAGATTCCTATTCCCTGCTGGCCCAAGCTGGCCTGACTTTATCAGTTGAGCTCTTTTATTGTAAAATAGGTTCTACAGGTCAGAGAGAGAATTCAGAGAGACTTGAATGCCTTCTGCTGACTTTGAAGCAGAGTGCCACACACCATGTGTGGAGATGATGATTTGGGTGTGAGTGCCTTGGGTGGTAAGAGCTGGGATTGGTCTCTGGTTCTTAGCCAGAAAGCAAGTGGGGACTTCAGTCTTACTGACAAGGGCCTGAATTCTGTCAACATCCGTGCAAGTTGAAGGAGGACCTGGGCTCCAGAATGGACCATAGCCCTGGCTATACCTTTGCAAATTTCTAAAAGTATGAGCAAGAATCCAACCGAGCCAAGGCCAGAGTCTGACCAAATAGCAAGACAATAAATGCATTTTTAAAAACTACTAGTTTATGGCAACTTATTGTGCAGCAATGAAAAACTCTTACATGTGTCTAAAGTCTCTGTCAGAGAAAATGTGGAGTTTCTTTCTCTGAATGCCTAGTCTCTCAATGAAACCTGAGATAATACTGAGTGGAAAAGAGTTCAGTCAAATCATCTTGTTTTCTTATAAGTAGAACGTGTGCTTGCAGTCATTCCAAATGGGGAAAATGTCTCTTTATTCAGGGTTGTTCCAGGCTTTGAACACTAATAAAGTGTGAAAGATATTACTACTTTTTGGTCTACACTAATGTAGGAGAGGTAGAGACACACTCCTGCCTTTCGTGAGTCTACAAACCAAGTACCTACAATACACAGCAGTTCAGAAATGGCCGAAAGGGAGGCAGAAAGCTAGTCTCTTGGAGTTTCATGCCCAGGTTTAAATTCTGCATCGGTTACTTAGAGATTGTGTGAATGTGGAGTCCTTTTGGAGACTCTCTTTCCTCATTTGGAAAATGTCAGTCCTAAAAGTGTCCACCTCCTAGGGCCATTGTGAGATTTGTGAAATGGTGCCTGTCTTGTACTTGGACCATGCTTGGTTCAGGTACAGTGCTCAAGAAATGTTACCCGCTACTCTGAAAATACAGCTTTTAACAAATACTGCAGGAAACAAATGTTGATTAGGTTTCATTAGAGGAAAGATGAATGATTGTCTCACTAGAAAGCCAGCCTTTGTAAAGAGGCTTAAATAATATAAAATGGGGAGAGGGTGTGCAAGTGAAGGGAAAATATGGCAACGCTCTAGGGTAAGAAAGTACAAGTCTTCCTTTACTGAGGGTTTCTATAGACACACAAGCCCATTCCTTCTTGCTCTCCTCAGGCCCTCCACCTATTTGTTTGTCTGTTGTTTTCCCTTTGATAATTCCAAACTTTAGAATTGGACTTCCCAGATGGTGCGGTGGTAAAGAATCTGCCTGACAATGCAGGAGATGCAAAAGATGTGGGTTTGATCCCTGGGTCAGGAAGATCCCTTGGAGAAGGAAATGGCAACCCACTCCAGTATTCTTGCCTATAAAATTCCACAGACAGAGAAGCCTGGCGGGCTACAGTCCTTGGGCTCGCAAAAAGTCGAGCATGACTGAGCACCCATAACTTGAGAATTACCTTAAATTGTCCTTGATTCCTTATCATGAGTTCTTGAACAGGGCTGGCAGATAATAAAAGCACTGTGCCACCACAGATTATGGTCCTTCAGTGCTGTCCTGCAAACCTCTCAAGTATTTGAAGTTTGCTTTTCACATTCCCTAGTGGTCTGTGATTTTCCCCAGTGGATGCCGATTTCGTCAAAGTTCTCTACCTCTTTCTGAGCCCCCATCCTCCCCACCAAGATGATGTTCCTCCTTCTTCTCCAAAATGATGCACACAATTGGAAATGAGTCACAGATTTGCCAGCCACACAACCATAAAGTCATCAATATCTAGATATTTCCTTTTCGTTCACAAGTAACATCTCAGAGTTCTGTCAATTGTCCCTTTTGCTTCCTGCACTTCATATATGTGCCTTTCAACTGGCTTGTTATTCTCAGTAAACTATCCCTTATGTTCAGTTTACCTTTTTGAAAAAGGTCCACTTTCAACTGTGCTTTCCCTTGCTGTAATAGCTCTCTGCATCTCTTTCCTTTATAGCAATACTTTCAGAAAAGGTAGTCTAGGTTTGCTAACCCTACTTCTTTATTTCTATTGACTCTTCAGCCAGGCTTCTCCCCACAACATGTCAGTGAAATTCTTTTATTGGTGTGCTAATGAGGTAGTAAAATGCTAAAACTCGTCTCTACATCAGTACTCTTGTTTGCCCTCTCTAGCTAGTGATGGTTGACTGGAGTTTGGAGGATACTTGACTCAAGGGCTGACAAGCCAAAAACTAGTCACTGTGTTTTAAAAGCTTCAGATTTAATTTTTACTTTTCCAGAAAACAAATTTTTAGTGTAGGGAAAATATTTAACATCATTTTCATTGTTGACACAAAGAATTATGTAAAAGTAGCCTTGTCTCCTAAGGATATTCTGATATAGATCCAAAGGTTAGGTCTAATGAAAAATCTTCATAGTAAATGCCTTTTCTTTTCCTAATCTCTTAACCCAGACATACTGATTGGTTATTTTTCCACCTTGGGGTCAAGGTAGTGAACTTGGTAAAAATGATGACTATACTATGTCAGTAGAAGAACCTGTCCTCTCACTGGAATATAATTGGAGCTGATCCTTTGGACTTAAAGTTATTTGTATTTTAATAGAATTAATAGTAAACCATTTGTCTTTCTTTGAGGATTATAAGGTAATGTCTGTAAATTATTTTAATTTATGTAAAATTATGTATAGTGGAATGAACACATAAAAGATTTCATGCCAAATATTACCACTTATCTTGCCCATATGTAAAAGATATTCTACTAATTGCATTTCTAAAATTCAACTGTTGTTAATGATCATTAGTCTCATATAATTAAGCTGAGAAATGACTTATTTCTATTTAGACTGCTTATATTATTGAACTCACATTTATTTTGCAAAAAAATTTATATATTATATATTATATTATATATTATATATTATATTATATTTATATAATCAAAACATGATCCTTTAACTTAAGAAAATGTTTTTTCTCATATTCTGAGGATATAAACATATTGAAAATCAGCTTTAAGATTAGGTCAGTAAGACATGATATGAACTTTTAAATATGTCTGTATGTTTAACTGGCTTATCAAAAAGTATATCAGAGGATACTTAATAATATAATATACTTAGTGATATAATGCATTAATATGTACTTAGGCCAATGTTGGACTCCCTGAGAGACCTATTGAATGACCTGGTCTTATTCAAGTTTCTGAGAGTAGATGGAAGCAGCATTGTTTGATGTTTCAAAATGATATAATTTTATGTTTCTTGTTTTGTGAAAGTCCTAATGATCTGAAAAAAGGTTTTCTTTTTCCAATTGGTATAAAAGATCTTACAGATCTTTGGCAGAAATTATTCTGGAATTAATCTCCTCATTCCTATGTTGGAATTCATCCACCCCTCCTTGGAGATTATCATTTCACTACTTAACAAAACCAAAAACGTGTGGGTTTTTATCCTTTGCAATTTAAGATATTTAGAAGCTTCTACAGTCTTTTCCATGAGATATGTTGGTACAAATGTTTATAGTTTCTCAAAAGTTAACATGCATAGATTCCCCTTAGTGCTTCACAAAATGTATATCCCTAAATCCTCCTCTCTGGGCTCTCTTGTTTGTTCCGGGATGAAGTGCAGAATATATAGCATATTTTTAATAAATGAATCTGTTAACTCTGATGTAGACGATCCATGAACACTATGTATATGTGCTCAGTCCTGTCCGACTCTTGTGATCTCATGGACTGTAGCCTGCCAGACTCCTCTGTCCATGGGATTTTCCATGAACACTATTATGACCACAAATGTTCTTTTTTAACTATCTCATTTTATAGATTAGGAAATAAAGCCCCCCAAACATTAAACAACAGTGTTAAATATCAATAATATTCAAATATTATTTTTCAGTATGTTGGATCAAAGACTTTCAATCAATTTGTTTCATCTACTTGTGAAATTGCTAATGTGTGGGACCCACATTTATACATGTCTGTATAAAGTAGCCTGATATTGTAGATCCAAACTTCCCCAAATAGCAGCCATGAGCAATGTGTTGCTTTTGAAATTAAATTAGCCTTTAAATTTAAGGCAAATTAAAACAATAGAACAGTGCTTCAACAATGATTGCTAACTACTAATATATAAAGTAGGATGATATCATTAATGCAAAAAGAAATCTGAAGTAATAGTTGTTAGAAAAATATACAGATGTGTGTAATGAGACTTACCGAGAAACATGTTATAAAAGCCAAAAGGCCCAAGGTCAAGCACAGTGGTTTCATCCTTATGGTTATTCCTGAAAGTGAGCACAGTGGCTGATCAGCATTCCTTTTTAATAGTACTATTTGGAAAACATCCCAACACTTGTATATGACTCATACAGGAATACTACTGCAGCATTTTAAGAATTTTGTCTAATATTATTTTGGGCTCACTATTAGTGTCAGTAGGCTGTAGTAACATTTAACTTCAGAATGATGAAATTAGTTTTAACTTTTGACTTGTGAATGGCAAAAAAGTTGTTCAGAAAGCATTTGTACGATAGAAACTTTTATAAGTAAGGTTTTGGATTTCAGAAGTTGCTATTTTGAAATGGACAACTTATTTGGATTTGGGTATCTTGGTATTTTTAAATAGTGATTATAGGGCTTTGTAGATTTCTACACACTTTTATTTCAGATATTAATTTCTTAACTAGATCCTATGTTTTAAATTTAATTTCTTGGTGCAACTCAGAAATAAGGAAAGCAACAGTATCACCCTACTAGATACAGTTTAAAGGAAAATTATCGCATACTATAAATCCTTTTCTAGTTTTAAAAACATTCTCCTAAAGTGTTTCAGTCCGTGATGAGTGGTCACAAAAAACTTCAAAGAATCCTCACATGGTATATTAAAGACCTGTGCATAGAAAAGGGAGGTGTCCAGGTATTTTACTCTCAGTTGGCTCGAAATTGACAATATATTTGAAGTACATGAGCTTGAGTTGTGGGAAAGCAACACCATGCACCTTTGTGCAGTATAGCTTTTGGATAGTTATCTATGCCCATCAATTAATTATGTGGCTGAACAATCTGGGTCTTAAAATGATCTATGGAAAAAGAATTCCTTGAATATATATGCATATGGTTATATTTTTAAGCATCATTTCTCCTATGACACATTCTTAAAATCTCTGGAAAGGAAAGCCAAGCAAATAATAAAAACTTTGTGCAATTATTCTCTCAGAGTACATCTGACAGTATTTTGGTCATTATGAAGGTCAAAAATCATTAAGGTACATCAGAGGGGAAGGTTGATTTATTGTGTAATTGGATGGTTTAATTGTCCCAGGGGCCCAAAATAAATGCTTTTTTTTTTGACATATGGAATTTCTCAAAATTTAATATGCTTAATGGTAACTAGATATTATGTAAGCCCCCTATTATTTTTTTTGTTGAAAATGAACATGCTAAAAAAAAAAAACCCATAAAATTATGTCTTTGAAAGTTTGAGAAAAATTTAGATTTCAAATTAACAATCCTTTAGTTTATATTTTTATGTACTTACCGTTGTATGAGAGGCTTCTCAGGGCTGATTATCCTGCTGGTCAAATTAGTCTTGCCAGGGACTTTTTGAAAGATGACAAATGAAGTAGAGAAAGAATAAAAAATCTCAGCTGTTATATAGATGCAAGGGATACATAGTGATAACAAGGAAAAACCTAGTTGAAAGATTTGGTTGATGTTCTTTAAACAAAGGTAGGAAATTGTCATTGCCAATTTGGCAATCTTTTCCTGCAAGTATTTTTTTTTCATTTCTGAGGATGAGCTTTGATCCATCCAATATTTGGTGTTTCCTAAGGAAACATATATTATATAATGAGTCACAATGCCCTTTTGTTTCAACAAAATAGTCTGGAGCTTCAAGTGAACCACTGCTTCTTTATTTTAAAGAGAAGCAGAAAGTGTTGTATTTCAAGTAATTTTAATGAGTCATTTTTGATTATGTGTACTATCATGACCACTTTCCTGGTAGCTTGGGTGGTAAAGAATCTGTTCGCAATGCATCAAATCTGTCTGGTTTGATTCCTGGGTTGGGAAGATCCACTGGAGAAGGGATAGGCTACGCACTCCAGTATTCTTGGGCTTCCCTGCTGGCTCAGGTGGTAAAGAATCCACCTGCAATGTGTGAGACCTGGGTTTCATCCCTGGGTTGCGATGATTTCCCTGGCAAAGGGAATGGCTACCCACTCCAGTATTTCAGACTGTAGCGGCTTCCTAGGTGGCGCTAGTGGTAAAGGACCTGCCTGTCCAGGCAGGAGACATAGGGACGCGGGTTAGATCCTTGGGTCTAGAAAATTCCATGGAGGAGGGCATGGCTATCCACTCCAGTATTCTTGCCTGGAAAATCCCATGGACAGAAGAGCCTGGCAGGCTATAGTCCATAGGGCTGCAAAGAGTTGGACACAACTGAAAGGACTTAGCATACACATGCACACACTATCATTATGTTTACTATGTTATCTAAAATTTAAATACACTATGTGGGAAGTTAAAAAATAAAATTATTTTAAAATTAAACTTTATCTTGATCTAGAGAGAGTTTGGGGGAATGATCTAGAATTAAAATTAGAAGTCATTATTAAATAGATGTTGTTAAATAGCAAACACATTACCATGGCCAGTTAGATTCAGAGCATCTCCAATGTGTTTCTTGACTGTTGGAACTTGACTTTTGGACTATCTGATGTGTTTATGTTTCTGTTGTTTTTCAGTTGAAATTATGAAACTATAACTATTTTATCCTTGGGCGTTTCTACATGTTTAAATCTCTATATATTTTTTCTCATTTATGTAAAATTGGTTTAGTTGAATCAGTTTTTTTGAAAGATGAGAAAAGTGAATGCTTGGGATAGGATTTTGATCTAAGTTTTGGAAATAGCAAGAGAGAGAAATCTAGTGGTGGAAGAGGCCAGATTTGTGCAGTTGCTGAATTTGAACTCTATTTTAATTCTCTCTGCCTGTAACTACTTCATGATATTTATGTTATTTAAAAGACTTAAATGGATATTTTAAAGGAAGCTTCCTTTGATCCTTAAATAACTAAAATAGTTTTCTGAGAGAATGTTCTAAAAGGTCATGTGCTGCTCGCCGTTATTAAGTTGGGAAATCACAAGACGGGGTAGGGTGAATTGAGTTCTCTTATCATCTCTGTTTTACATGTAGGCACTACTGAACCAAAGTCTGCTCACTTCAAGGCCTGAATACTGAGTTAACAAGGATTTCATGTTGGTTCCTCAATCTACATAACCTTCATCAACTTCATGAAATTATGTCATAGTGTGCTGCAGAGATTAACCAAGTGAATTTACAGTTAGATACTTTTACCTCAATTCCCAACATCAGCCTTTATTTCTTGGCTTACACCAGACTAGCTATTTAACCTCATTTGCCTCGGTTTTTGCAGTTGAAGAATGTTGGTATTTATAATTTTCATGTCATGGAGTTTAGTTTTTCTTTTGTTCATTCATTCACTCATTCACCAGTTGTTGAATCCCTACTGGATTTTTGACATAATGCTAATTGTTAAAGTCACAGAATATTGAAATATTTGTTCTTAAAAATATTTTGGAACTTGCAGGTGGTGTGGGGACAAAGAAACCCCATGTTGAGAGTTGATCTTAGTTTTAAATCACCATAATTCATTTCATTTGCTTTGTCTTAATTGCCTTAAAAATTCTAATGACATAATGGAGTATATTGTTTTGCTAGTTTTAGCCTCTAGTCAGCATTGAACAATAACATGCCCAAACAATGAAGATGGTTCTACTTCTAGGTTTACATGGAAAGTTCAATAAACCTCTTTTTTCTCTGACATTAATCTAGCTTGTCAGAAGATGAGTATCCTTTCTCTCTTGTTTAGATGCCAGTATATTTATTAGCCAAATGTTTCAAATCCAGGGGTGATCTATGTTGGAATGGATCACTGACTCTGAAGGACTTAGAATGAACACTGGCAAAACGGAAAGACAATTTCTGAGGGGCTGTGACTGACAAAGTGTTAGAACAAGACAAGTCAAAAAGCACATGTCTGTTAAGAAATAGACTGTCACTCAAGTTAAACTTTAATCAATCATGGCTTGAAAAGTTCCTGAATGAATGGTCTCTAGAACAGTACCTAAGTGAGCTAATGTCTCTGGTCACAAGAAAGTCAAGGTGAAAGTAGTGTCAGACTATTGTTACGGCAGAGAATTATTTGGACAGATGGAAACTATCTCCCTGATAGAATAGATTTAGCAGAATTACATTTGAAGTCTGTTGCCTTCCTGCGGAGCAGTAAGCTTTGTTTATTTGGAGTTAAGCAAACAGTATCAATCAATATGAATCAAAGATATCAGTTTCCCACTTGAGATCTCTCTTGGACATTATTTCTAGCTTCATCTTAATATCCAATATATATATTTTCTTTGTCAGAGTTTCACTTTATTAAGAAATCTGTGTACAAGTTTTCTCTGTAAACTAGACCCAATACTTACAAAAATTTAAACTATAAATGTGACATTTGTTAGTGTATAAATAATGTTTTATTTTAAAATTTAATATGAAAAATAACTCTAGGACATTATCATGAAGAAATTAACATCTAGCTTTTATGATGAAGCAACTGAGTGGTAGTTAGTACTAAGATCTTACTAGGCATGTTCAACAATGATTTTTCCCTAAAAAAATTATTCATAGGCTGTTGATAAGGATGTTGCTTAAAAAATAAGAAGAACTAAAAAATTAAGTATATTAAAAAGTAATGACAGTTACATGTGTCATTGCCTGAAAACTAGTACAAATTCTTAAACAACTTTCAAATTAGGGCAAAAACGGTGTATTGTGTTTTGAAATTCAAAAGACCTTAGTTCCAGTATTGACTTTGCCATTTATGCATAATATTATCTTGAGATAAAGCTCTTTAACCTCTCAAAGCTTTCTTTGTAAAAAGATAAAATAAAATTGAATAAATCTCTATTATCCTAATTATAGGCAGATCTAGGTTTTCAGGAACCCAAAGTTTATACAAATTTGGGAGTTGATTCTAAGACAAAGAATGCAAAATTATATTTCCTAACTACCTGCTGCCACCCCAAGACCATCTTACAGGAGACTGTGAGGACACAACAGTCTGAAGCACAGAAAGAACATCATTAAATCATCTCAGATGCTGATTCCCACCTTCTAGCACCCCACTGTATCGGACCAGGTCTTGGACTCAAAGGACTCTGTCTCTAAAACTCAGAGAAATCAGCACCTGCCAAGTTCTGCTTCTCCATAGCTTGGCATTTCATACTGCAGGATCCTTCCTGCAAGATTCTAAGTTTTAATAATTTCAAGCTTACCCTTTCTTCCCTTGACCCAAGGGAAGTCGCTATCTGCTTGGTACCTTGGTCTTCTCATTTTGCCTCTTCAGTTACACAGTAAGAATTCATAATGTCCAGTTAATGATACTTACATTAAATTCCATGAAAAATAACTGGTGTCTCCCGACAGGACTGAGTGACCTGACCACTGAGTGACTAAATGGCTGACACCTACTCTGCTTTACTAGCAGCAGTGGTCTTGGTTGAGAATGATGGTTCAAACCTATAGGACAAAATATTCTTCAGCAAGTATCAAGTTGACTTAAAAACTATACAGAACAAGTAGCAACATAGCATATGGTAATATCATGATGGGGATTTGGTGAAATTTTGGTTCTGCTTCCTATGTCCCAGTCATTTTGAACCTGGGAAATGTGTGATCATGAGAAAGAAGTCTGAATATGAATGGAAAAACTTTTAGACAAGTCTTAAGACTATACCAATTTCAGAGGAATTTGTGAGTTAATGAGCTGGGGTGGGGTGTTCTGGTGGTTCAGAAATGTTTTTGTGGGAATACTATGGCCAGCCTAAACTATGGCAACGTGTCACTTGTAAATATGATCTCTCTTGTTATGCCCTCATAGCCAGAAGTCTGAGAATCAAGGCTAAAATTCATATTTGGATAATATTAATCCTTTAGCTGGGAAAGACCCTGCTGCTGGGAAAGATTGAAGGCAGGAGGAGAAGGGGACGACAGAGGATAAGATGGTTGGATGGCATCACTGTCTCAATGGACATGAGTTTGAGTAAACTCCAGGAGTTGGTGAGCCTGGCATGCTGTAGTCCATGGGGTCACAAAGAGGCAGACACAACTGAGCGACTGAACTGAATCCTTTAGCTTCTTATGTTTTATACCCTCATTTAAAGCTAATTCCATTCAGTTCCACACACTGACTTTGCTTTTTGTAGTCATTTCTTTTGTCAATGACACTGTCACATGGCTGAAGTTATCCTTGGTGACTTTACTCAATTTAGAGTCCTATCCATGTAGTGTGTTACTGAAAACGCAAGTCTGTGTGCCTAATGCAGAATGAGACCAAACAACACTAAAACATTGGAGTTTGGAACAGAGAAAGGTTTATTACAGGGCCATGCAAGGAGATGGGCGACTCATTTCTTAAAACCCCCAAACTTCTCAAAAGCTTTCAGCAAAGCCTTTTTATAGTAAATGTGAGGGAGGCACATGGCTAGTTGTTGCAGACTTCTTGGTGTCAGATCTTTTGTTCTTAAAGTCAAGTCATGGTCAGGCAACGATGTTCTTATAAATCTCTACTAAACGAATGTTATTCTCTATCCTGACAAGAAAGGGCAACGTCCTAAGGCAGAACTTTCACCCCCCAAGGTCCCAGTCATGGCTAAGAAGATGCAGATCTCAGTTGGCAGCTCCCTCAGGGCCAGGTACCTAGACCCTGCCCAGCTGTCATCACTGAGGGAGCCAGGTGGCTAACCCAACCGGCCCTCAGGCTCCTAAGGCCACCCAAATGGGATAGGGAGAAAACCAAGTCCCACCGACTGCAGCCAGGCTACCTGCTACTGCTATTAGGTTGCAGAGATGGGGATGGGACAGAGGTTCAGCGCTGCCTCAAGGCCTGCTGCCAAGCTGAGTGTATGGCCCTGATGAGGGCTCTAGAGTCTTGGAGTCCATAGCCCAGTCTGTTCTCTAAGCCCTCTAGCTCACCCACTGGCCCAAGGCTGGGTGAGCTGGACAGTCTCTGGGAGAAGGCCTGAATCTGCCTCTTACCTCACTCTCCACCTGATGTCCACACACTGCCCACCATTGGCTGAATCACTTGTCTAATGATCCCTCATTGACAGTTCATTGCTTGTGGGTGGAGCCAACTGAGATGCCAACCAATGGCTGAGCAATACCTGTTTCCTGGCAACAGGAATGGGAGTAATGATGCACAGCAATTGCAGCCTGGTAAGGGCTGTGCTCAGGGCATTCTGTTATAGTCTCTTCTTATCTCTGTCTGTCTTATCTCTCATTTCCAATTACCTTTCTCTTGTCTACTTCAAGTGTCACATTTAGGATTGCTATTAACCTGATGTATTCTGCTTCTAAGTCATCCATTCAGATGTCCTACTTGGCAGCGATGAACCACAAACACCCTCTTTTAAGCTTTTCTACCCAAGTATTCCCACTTGTATCTCAGTTGGAATACAAGTTCAGTGAGCTTTTGTCTTTTTTGAAATCTATCAACTCTGTCCCTTCTCTTGGAAGTCAGTATAGAGTTAATGGCAGAACATAAAAGTAGTATTCTTTCAGATATGCTGTCATTGTTTTGAAAATTTATGACGGTGCATAACAGTAAGAAATACACTATTGGCCCAGTACAATATGTCCCAGTATGTACCTACACATACATATGTAACAGAATAAGGAGTTACAAAATGCAATGTTCTCAGTGTCCTATCCAGTCTATCCCATTCCATTTTATCCTAGACTATCTCATACTGTAATATATATTTTATCAAAATCCTTCTCTTTGGGATGGAGAATATATTCCCTGATGTAAAATAAAAGGTGAGAACCCTTCAGAATCTGCTGTAGTGTGAAGAAAACAATACAATCAATTGTTGATATATATAGTTCTGATTGTTTACCAAATATGAAGGGAAATTCAGAAAATAATATATATGTACATTTTAGAATTTATTTACTTACCTCCCTCCCTCCCTACATTTGTACCTGTCTAGGAACTTGAAATTTAGCAAAGTTTATAAAAACTCACAAAATACAAGAAAAATATACTTAAAGAATAAATGATCTGACACTCATTTAACTGATGCAAAGGAGTTGAGAAAGGAAGCACTAGCTTTTTTCATCCACTACCTTAGAGTTATAGGCTCAGTGGGTACATGGAAGGTTTGTCTTCCAAGTTATTGCAAATGTGTTTTACCTAATTTTTCACTGCCTCATATGCTCTCATTCTTTTTATTCTCACCTTACCAATGTTTAGTAAATCATTGCTTACCTCCTCCTCACTCTCCTTTGTTAGTGTATTACCCAAATTCAAAATAAGATACAAATTTGTTAGAATAGGCAAGGCTGAAGGAATATACCAAAACCATCATAGCTCAGAACAACAGAAGTTAATTTTTGCTTATATAATGTTTATTGACATCATAGGTCGTCAGGGTTAAAACTGGGGAGACTTGTTTGCAGGAAGCCATTTAGAGAACAAGGATGATGTCAGCTCTGTTATCCTCAACTCGTGATTAATATAAAGGTTTGCCTGGGTTTATCAGTATTCTAGAACCAGGAAGGAAAATCCTGAAGGAACACACAGGAAGAATTTATGACTGTGTTTAGATATGACCTTGTCCATTTCTGTTCTCACTCATTGGCTGAAATTCAGGTACATGGCCAAATCTAAATGCAGGGAAGGCTGGGAAATGTAATCTAGTTGAGAATTCAAAAGAGGGAAAGAAGAGGGAAATGGCTTCTTCTCTGGTACCTTACAGTTCCTACTATCATCTGAATTCTTTTCACAAATTAAACTTTTCTCTTCCCTTTATGGATTATCCTAAAGGTTGTACATTCCTTTGAAATGACACTTTAAATATTTTTGTAAAGGACTCTTTTATCTCTGTTCATGCAGAATTTTCTGGATATTTGTGAATTTCTTAAACCACAAATTTTAATCATATGATTCTTCAATGACACCTTCAGTTCATTCTGAAGCTTCGTCCGTTTTGATATTTCTATAACCATATTGTTTGTGATTGACAGTGATGGATGGCATCACGGTAGAGCATAACCCATGTGGGGGGGCACCCTTAGAAGGCTGACATTTATGAAGTGAACATTACACCACAGTATGACATCTGGTTCTATCACTTCATGGCAAATAGATGGAGAAACAATGGAAACAGTGAGAGACATTATTTTTTTTTTGGCTCCAAAATCACTGCAGATGGTGATTGCAGCCATGAAATTAAAAGATGCTTGCTCTTGGAAGAAAAGCTATGACCAACCTAGACAGCGTATTACAAAGCAGAGACATTACTTTGCCAACAAAGGTCCGTCTAGTCAAAGCTATGGTTTTTCCAGTAGTCATGTATGGATGTGAGAGTTGGACTATAAAGAAAGCTGAGCGTCAAAGAATTGATGCCTTTGAACTGCGGTGCTGGAGAAGACTCTTGAGACTCTCTTGAATTGCAAGGCAATCAAACCAGTCCATTCTAAAGGAAATCAGTCCTGAATATTCATTGGAAGGACTGATGTTGAAGCTGAAACGCCATTATTTTGGTCACCTGATGTGAAGAACTGACGCACTGGAAAAGACCCTGAGGTGGGGAAAGAGTGAGAGCAGGAGAAGGGGACAATAGAGGATGAGATGGTTGGATGGCATCACCAACTTGATGTACATGAGTTTGAGCAAACTCTGGGAGCTGGTGCTGGACAGGGAGGCCTGGCATGCTACAGTCCATGAGGTCACAAAGAGTCAGATATGACTGAATGACTGAACTGAATCATTCAATATTTGGTATTTCCTGAGGAGACATATACCTTGAGTTCAGTGTCCTTTCACTTTGGTAAATTAATCTGGAGCTTGGAGTGCACCATCATCTGTCTATTTTAAAGAAAAAATTATTTAATTTTAAATAATTAAAATGATTTCAAATAATTTTAATGAGTCATCTTTTGCTATGTGTTGCTATCATCATCATATTTCTTATTTTATCTAAAATTTAAATAAGTTATGTGGGAAATTAAAAAGTCAAATTATTTAAAATTCAAACTCTGGCCTAATCTAGACAGGATTTTGGAGAGTGATCTAGAATTAAAATTGGAAGTAATTATTAAATGCATGTGCATTTGTGTTAAGTTGCTTCAATCATGTCTGACTCTTTGCAACAACATGGACAGTAGCCTGCCAGGTTCCTCTCTCCATGGGATTCTCCAGGTAAGAATACTGGAGTGGGTAGCCTTTTCTGACTCCAGAGGACCTTCCCGACCCAGGGATCGAACCTGCATCTCTTATGTCTCCTGAATTGGCACATGGGATTTGCTCCCACCTGGTATTGAACCCCATGCTCCCTGCAGTGGAAGTGGGGAGACTTAACTGCTGCACCACCGTGGAAGCCCTTAGCTACTCTAGGCCTCATCTGTGATTTTTTAGGATCATTGAGAAATGCTACCATCCATCAGACTAGAAAGACTTGAAAGATCTCATCCATGGGTGGACGAGAGATCTAATGGAGGTTCCTGAACTTGGGTCTCTTGACAATGGCATATAATTGCCAAGATGGAAAGGACTATGCCAATGATGGTCTCAGAATGAATGGAGTGTGCAAGGAAGAAGAAAGAGGGTTTCCTGCCTGGAAAAAAAAAACCCAGACCACATTTCTTCTGTGATTCACCCCAGTCAGGATCACGGGTAGAATTCAAAGGACAGCTTCCCTCATTTGGGCCCCCAACTTAGAAAATGCTCGTCTCTACCAAAGACAAGCAGTAACGGCTTGGGGTGGCAGACTAACTCTCTTCTTCTCATGATCTCCACATAGGCAATTAATCACCTTTTTAGAATTAAACATTCAATATCTCATTTCAACTGGATATTACTCTTGATTCACCTTTCATAATACCAAATTATGCTACTGATTGCATCATTCAAGCCATAGCCTGTCTCTTTTTGGACTTTTTAATTTAAAATCTCTTTTTTTGTTTACTAACTTTTCACCCCTGAACTATTTTATTTT